GCTTATGTACGGAATTGTGCAATATTAACATCTACCCCTTTTTAATCGCTCACCTTCGATTTTGGAGGATCAACCGCTGTCGAGTGAAAAGAAGGTTACGTTACTTGTTGGATGTCGGCTATCTTGCGAACGCAGCCTGTGCTTGTGCTGATCGCCCTCATGTGATGAGCGCAATTGGTCGAGGTGACATTTTGGCCGCACCCTTTAAAGGCCCCAGGAACTGTCCGCTTGGGTTTTATTGCTTTCCTCTGAGGTCCGAATTATTAATAGCGAACGCTCGTACAAGCCTCGGCGGCAGCCCAGCGGTTAGGACACATGTTTTCGGCAACCAATCGCGACGTTACTGTTCACCGCGTATTACAGGGAGACATCGAAAAAGCTTTCAGCGTGGGATATCGGAAGGAAGCGCGATCTTAACATTTAAATCTATGCTTAAATTCATATCTCACAAATACGTAAATCAATTTAATTATTAGTGGAACGTACATTTGGTCTGGCGTGTTTTTTTTTTCTGCTGGCAAGGTTGTTGGATCATGCAAATATCTTCCATGTGCTAAGACTCTCAACCTGATGGGCTTATCCAGCGGTGCCTAAATAGAGATACGCGAGACACTTTTGTGAGTAATCCACAGGGCACCCCCCTCCCCCCGTCCTTTTCTGGCTTGCTCCAGTTTCCTCGCACATTTGATAGGGAGCTGCTGGCCAATTATCTCACACTTGAAAGATCCTCCCGAGGAAGAATCTTAAGTCTCAGGGTGGGATTCGTGGATGAATAGAGGAATACCGTACAGGAGTGTTAAAAACCTGGGGCTTTAAAATACATTACCCCCACCCCCCGTTTATGATAACATGTGCAAATAATATCAGTTGGGAATTATTAATCCAGTGTATCCCTCTGTACAGTTTCATAGTTCGACATCATATTTTGCAAGTTGGCCACCGCAAAAAATAAAAGTCAATGCCAACGCGAGTTCAAACTCAAAATTAAAAGTACGAGCTTCTTATTTTGGGGGATTGCTCATTCTATTGCAGGCTGCTCCCTGTGGGATGCACTTTTGTTATGCCGGTTCAAGAATGTGCTGCCTGAAAGAGCCCACAGGAATGTGGCGCTGGCCTCGCCGGTCGCAGGATCGCGCTGATTGGCCTCGACCCGAGTCCGCGCAGCGGGAGAGGGGTGGGGGGTGCTCCACGGACTCGGGCCACTTGCCGCCATCCAGACGCTGTGCGCCGCAGTGCGGAGGGCCGCGTCTGTACGTGGCGACGCGGGGCCGCGCTGCAGACTTAAACACGTGCTCGTGAAAACCCCGCGCGGCTGGGCGTTGCGTGGCGGCGTGACTGTCGAAGGGCGTTGTTGTTATTGCGGGTCTGCCGGAGGGGGCGCCGACGACTCGCGAGTTACGTTCAGCTGGCACCTCAAGGGCAGTGGAGGGTGGATTTGTGTCTCTCCCTTCATTGGTTTCAATGCTGCTGCTGCTGCTGCTTTGTCGAAAGGGTTGCGAAACTGCCCCCGTAATTTATTTATTGGGTGTGACTTGCCATGTCAATCCATGTAATTTTTCACGTTGTCCACAGTTCAATCAATCAAACGCTATTTCTATAGCACTATTCGTGCAAAAAATGCGATACATAGTGCTTTACAGGCATGGACAATAAAAGTGAAATTGTAGGCCAAATAAAATCATGTAACAAATTTCTAGCAAAGATAAAAAATAACACATTAAGGAAATCCTAATTAAAAGCAAGTTTTTAAAAAAAGTAAGTTTTTAGATTCATTTTTAAAGTGCTTAATGATTCTGAAGACCTCAGATCCCCTGGCAGGCTGATTCACAGGCGAGGACCGTAAACACTTAAAGCTGCTTCTCCCTAGGATGTTGGTCCCTGGGCTTTGGGACAACTAAAAGACCAGTACCAGAGGATCTGAGGGATCTTGTTGGTTCATATCTTAAAAGCATGGAAGACATGTATACAGGTGCTGCTTGGTGAAATCTCATCAACTTGACTGATACCAATAACAATTAAGGAGGCAGTTGTCAGCGATACACATTGCAACCTACAGTAATAAGGTTTGGGGCCAGGACACATGCTGTATGCGAAAATCCTAAGATTACTTCTCTGATGTACAGTAATCACATCTGGATCACTTTCAGGGTCTATATATCCAGGTCAGACATTAGCTCTTCATTAATGCCAAGCCCCACCAGGCCTGAGGGATATCAGGTGAATTTTTATGCCGGACCAGGCCGAACGAACTGGACTCTTGCTGCCTCTGTCGTTACAAAATGTGACACTGCCTTACGGTCTGCTGCTGCTGCTGCTTGTGCTGCTGCGTGGGCTGCTGCTTTATCTTTACTGCTGCCACATAAGCCACCTAGGCTATGTCTGCGGTTTGTACAGTGTCACAATCTGCGCGCATTACATCGGTACTCACTGGGGACGTTCGCCATCTCCTTTTAATCCCACTGCCAATTCGCTGCGTGGCCCTCTGCGGGCTCCGGACGCCGGGTTGTAGGAGGGCGTCTTGCACAGCTCTGATGGCGAAGTCTTCCACGCAGTCGTCGCCTGAATAAAGTTGAAATGTGACTTTTTAATCAAATAATAACAAATCAAATGTTTAATGCACATCCCATCCTGGGATCCCAGTGAGCAACGCATGAAAAACAGGAAACATAAACAGAACCAGGGGCCCAACCGACCAAGCCGAAGAGGAGGACGGCCACTTTAAAGAGATGGGTTTTCAAAGCAGACTTAAATATATTTACTGACTTTGATTGCCTGATTTCAAGTGGCAAGGCGTTCCATAGCCTGGGTGCCACGCTAACAAAAGCCCTATCACCAAACGAGTGCAACCTAGACCTGGGAGTGTTGAGCAGTTGGAGATCAGAAGATCTTAAGGACATTCATGGAATATATAAATGTATTAGTTCCTGCAAGTAAGGTGGGATGAGCCCTTTTAAAGCCTCATAGGTTAACAGCGGTATCTTAAAATCCACTCGGAATTTGACTGGTAGCCAATGAAGAGATCCGATGACTGGTGTAATGCCCTCACGGAATGATGTACATGGTGTAAGCACTCTCGCAGCTGCATTCTGTAAAAGCTGGAGTCTGCCCAGTACTTTGCTTGGTATCCCAACCAGTGAGGCGTTGCAGTAGTCTGGATAATACAAAAGCATGGACCAGTCTTTCCAAGTCGGCATTTTGGCAATATTTCATAGGTGGAAAAAGGACACGTTTAACCACCTTAGATATGTTCCTCAAAGTATAATGACCGGTCAAACTGAACACCGAGGTTTCTGACCTCCCGTGTGCCACTGACATCATGACCATCAATCAACAAACAGCTGCGGAAACCTCAAATGTGAGCCCCCAGGTTTGACACAATAGGAAATAAAGTACTGCTGAAACCGTTGTAAAATCGCCACCTCTCACACGTTACCCGATAGCCGTTCTCAATGCTTGTGAAAAGTGTTCATCGCCATGGCTTTTGTCAAATATTCAGGGCCGTATTAAAAATAAAACAAAACCCGTTTTTAGAGCAGAGATTTGCTCGTAACAACTAAATAGCCGAGTGTGACATTGCCATTTTCGTGTAATGCTTGCAAGCTACTGAGGTGGCAAGAGCCTTCAGTCGGCAACGGATAACTGGTGGATGAGGATCGCGAGATCGTTTCGTGCACTCAAGGGCGACGAGGCTGAGACCGTAAATATGAACACAAATGAGAAGCAAGTTTTAGTTACCGGGTGCCCAGATTTTCTTTTTTACCAGCTCAGTGCCCGATGCGAGAGTAACATTCGACAACCTGACCAACTGCAGCCGTTCAACTTCCAAGGGCAGCATTTTGATTGAGCACAGTCTGACCTCAATCCGATCGCATAGGATTGACTCGAGCCTTGTCCAAACCCAGAGCGGGCCCTCCTTCAGCCCCACATGCGCAAAGTGCACGCGCTGACTGTACGTTGGAACTTTTGCACCGTACGTAGCCAACCGTGCGGCTCGGGGGGGAAGGACGGCTAAGTCAACACGAAAAGCAGCGCTAAAGAAATTAAACAAACACCAGTATCACGCGTTTCCCCCATTTTTCGTGAAGGAAAGTGACTTTTTTTTTTTACCTACCTCTCTTGCCCTGTGGACGTGCACTGCAGGTTTGTGAATCGGCGACTCAGAAATGTATGACGGGAGAGTTCGCCTGGCCATTGGGATACTTTTGCATTTCATGAGTAGAATGGTGTACCCTCGTAACTTTGACGGAAACCTGTATCCGTAATGGTCATGTTGGAACGCAGTGATTATATCAGAAAAAAACGTTACAGTGTTTATCATCGGAAGTACCGCCAGTTAGAAGATACATATTTAAAGGAAAAGCAACGTTTTGTTCACTTATATCTCGCCTCACTGCCATCCCATGTTGCTTGTAATCTTGATTCGATTTTCCTTCTATGTGTAGGTATGTATGTTGTACTTCTATTGCACCGTACTCAGCCAACCGTGGTAATCGTGCTGCCGCCGATGCCACTTCACGGCGTGCGCGTGTCACGTCTGTGCCGTCCGTATTTGACACCGTGCACGTGATTGTGGTGGAAATGTGCAATGTGCTGTTACGTTTACAGTTCAATCATATCCCTGTTCATTAAAAAAAAAAATCAATTTTTTTAATATTCAAATGAGTAAACAAAAAACAGTGATGGTAATTTGCCTTGCTTTTATTTCAAGCAGTGATTGTTCTCGATTCTTTAATCTTGATGGGGATAAAAGAAAAGACTTTGTAAAAAAACATGACAACAGAAATGTCACTGTTGAAGGGAACTGGAATGCCCTTTCCTGCCACGACGTTCATGGTCGCACCAGAATTTGCCTACCCTGACACGCCCTCCGTGTAGACTTTGCAATAACGCATTTGTGGTTGCACGGTCTAACCCGATGCGGACATAGCCCGCGTGGGTTTTGAGTGCTGGCGTTGAATTTGTTTTCGTCTTATCGTGCTTTCGTTTGTTTATCTCTGCAGGATGGCTGCCTGCCTTCGGGCCTGAACCCATGTGCTAAGGCTTGGCAGAGCCCTCCAGCGGGAGCAGCTGGCCCAGCTACAGCTGGAAGTGAGCCCTCCGCCAATGGCCTGGACGCACCCAACGATCAAAGTTCACAGAGCCCCGTTAATGGGCTGGACGGTGGTGAGCGGGCATCAGATGATTTGCGGCGCACGGTTCCCTGGTTATTCGCGAGGAATACGTTGCGGAGATGCTCGTGGAGAGAAAATTTAGCGGACTAGTCATATTGGCCTATGATTTACCTTGAATAAATACGTAAAAAAACTATTAAATACATGAAAGTGTTCGTAACGCATCACGTGATCTCACGTCACTCTATTTAATAATTTCTCTCATCCCTTTATCTCTCACTTTATCTCTCGACTTTATCTCATCACTTTACCACTCATTTATCTCTCATCACTTTACCTCTCTCGATGCAGTAGTCGTGTGGAGTTCCAGACCCCTCTGCAAAACATGACTTAGTACTTGGTGGCAAAACCCTTGTTGGCAATCACAGAGGTCAGACGTTTCTTTTAGTTGGCCACCAGGCTTGCACACATCTCAGGAGGGATTTTGTCCCACTCCTCTTTGCAGATCTTATCCAAGTCATTAAGGTTTCGAGGCTGACGTTTGGCAACTCGAACCTTCAGCTCCCTCCACAGATTTTCTATGGGATTAAGGTCTGGAGACTGGCTAGGCCACTCCAGGACCTTAATGTGCTTCTTCATGAGCCAATCCTTTTTTGCCTTGGCCGTGAGTTTTGGGTCATTGTCATGCTGGAATACCCATCCACGAACCATTTTCAATGCTCTGGCTGAGGGAAGGAGGTTCTCACCCAAGATTTGACGGTACATGGCCCCGCCCATCGTCCCTTTGATGCAGTGAAGTTGTCCTGTTCCCTTAGCAGAAAAACACCCCCTACGCATAATGTTTCCACCTCCATGTTTGACGGTGGTGATGGTGTTCTTGGGGTCATAGGCAGCATTCCTCCTCCTCCAAACACGGCGAGTTGCGTTGATGCCAAAGAGCTCCATTTTGGTCTCATCTGACCACAATACTTTCACCCAGTTGTCCTCTGAATCATTCATATGTTCATTGGCAAACTTTAGACGGGCATGTATATGTGCTTTCTTGAGCAGGGGGACCTTGCGGGCTCTGCAGGATTTCAGTCCTTCACGGCGTAGTGTGTTACAAATTGTTTTCTTGGTGACTATGGTCCCAGCTGCATTGAGATCATTGACAAAATCCTCCCATGTAGTTCTGGGCTGATTCCTCACCGTTCTCATGATCATTGCAACTCCACGAGGTGAGATCTTGCATGGAGCCCCAGGCCGAGGGAGATTGACAGTTCTTTTGTGTTTCTTCCATTTGCGAATAATCGCACCAACTGTTGTCACCTTCTCACCAAGCTGCTTGGCAATGGTCTTTTTGTAAGCGTGCGATAGGATTTTCAGAAAGGTGTATTTCTTGTGATGTTCTTGTGCTGTTGTCCTGAGCTGTGCGTCTGTGCGTCCTGCAGGCAGCAGCAGTGCCAATGGCCAAGTGAAGGATGCCATGCAGTGTGCTGTGGATTCACCCCTGGCCGATTCATTTAAATCGCACATGCACATTGCCAGAGATGGTAAGCTCATAGGTTACGCCTCAACAGCACTGTTACGGTCTAACTAAATTTCACGGAGATGCTGCGTTGGCAGTCATGTTACAAGCAAAAATCACAGACTCAACAATGTTATGGGTTTACTCTCGAACACACCGGTGTGCTGTGCTAGTGTAGTGAGTCCAACCGAGTCGCAGACTCTTAGCACAACACACTCCAGGCTATTAACACAACATACTCCAGGCTATTAACACAACATACTCCAGGTTATTAACACAACATACTCCAGGCTATTAACACAACATACTCCAGGCTATTAACACAACATACTCCAGGCTATTAACACAACATACTCCAGGCTATTAACACAACATACTCCAGACTCTTAGCACACCATACTCCAAGCTATTAACACAACATACTCCAGGTTATTAACACAACATACTCCAGGCTATTAACACAACATACTCCAGGTTATTAACACAACATACTCCAGGCTATTAAGACAACATACTCCAGGCTATTAACACAACATACTCCAGGTTATTAACACAACATACTCCAGGCTATTAACACAACATACTCCAGGTTGTTAACACAACATACTCCAGGCTATTAACACAACATACTCCAGGTTATTAACACAACAATACTCCAGGTTATTAACACAACATACTCCAGGTTATTAACACAACATACTCCAGGCTATTAACACAACATACTCCAGGCTATTAAGACAACATACTCCAGGCTATTAAGACAACATACTCCAGGCTATTAACACAACATACTCCAGGCTATTAACACAACATACTCCAGGTTATTAACACAACATACTCCAGGCTATTAACACAACATACTCCAGGCTATTAACACAACATACTCCAGACTCTTAGCACAACATACTCCAAGCTATTAACACAACATACTCCAGGTTATTAACACAACATACTCCAGGCTATTAACACAACATACTCCAGGTTATTAACACAACATACTCCAGGCTATTAACACAACATACTCCAGACTCTTAGCACAACATACTCCAAGCTATTAACACAACATACTCCAGGCTATTAACACAACATACTCCAGGTTATTAACACAACATACTCCAGGTTATTAACACAACATACTCCAGGCTATTAACACAACATACTCCAGGTTATTAACACAACATACTCCAGGTTATTAACACAACATACTCCAGGCTATTAACACAACATACTCCAGGATATTAAGACAACATACTCCAGGCTATTGACACAAAACACTCCAGGCTATTAACACAACATACTCCAGGTTATTAACACAACATACTCCAGGCTATTAAGACAACATACTCCAGGTTATTAACACAACATACTCCAGGTTATTAACACAACATACTCCAGGTTATTAACACAACATACTCCAGGCTATTAAGACAACATACTCCAGGTTATTAACACAACATACTCCAGGTTATTAACACAACATACTCCAGGTTATTAACACAACATACTCCAGGCTATTAAGACAACATACTCCAGGCTATTAAGACAACATACTCCAGGCTATTAACACAACATACTCCAGGCTATTAACACAACATATTCCAGGCTATTAACACAACATACTCTCATGTGGTGACCACCCAACTAACCACGCTACGGCAGAACTAGACACGGTTCCAATATCCCGGTCCGGACCACAAGCTGGGTCCCGGACCACGTGGCTGGAGGCTTCTTCAAGCTTGACGTGGATCTCCTTCCTCTCCAACAGCAAGAACCCCGAGCCCCTCACAGGGGCCCCCCTTATATCGGGCCGGGCTGGGGCTGGCTCCGCCTCTCGCCCCGCCCACCTTCTCGAGCTCTCTCGCCCTTGCCCGAAGGCTCTCGAGAGTTCTTCTCGGACCATGTGACCACCCATTGGCCCCCTCCACCGGTGGCCCCCCTCCAGTATCATCCGGTCACATGTCCCCAGGTCAGCCAGAGTATCATGCCCCCAACGTAACCCTAGCTGGCTGACATTCTCTCGCTCTCTCAACGGGAGCCCGCACCGCACGCTGCGCGTGGTGCCACCGCGCTGAACCAGCGCTCACCCAAGCCCCCACTAGGGCTGGTACTACACCCCGTGTCCGGGGTGTACACACAACAGTATACAGCTCGCCGTGGCCTCGCAGGCCCGGCACTACACAGTGACATTCCCAGTCACTACACTCGAATGAATTGGCATGTTTTGTTTACACGACAAACCTTACTAATTGGCTGTCGGGTGGTGGCGGGTTTAACGACACGTTTATATGTATGCGATCTAACCCAAAAACCTCTATTATAGACTCAACAAGTTTTTCAATAACGCCGTGGCCTTCAGAGGAAAAGGAAATAATAGACGACTTTTCGGGCAATGGGCCTTTTTTAGAGCACGCAGAGGTAGGATATGTTGCCTGTTACTTACGTTTGCTTTCAAGGCCACGGTCTTATTGGTGGATGTGTTGAGTTTGTTTGTTGTAGGGTAAACAGAAAAGTAAAAAAATAATATTAAACGGATAAAACATTTCCGCGAGGTAATTTTTCATGTTGCTGTACGTTCACAGTTCCGAAGGTTGGAGACACGGTGATGTTTGCCTGCCAGAAATGTAGAAATTGTCCATTTCAATTTTACCTTTTAGCAATCAAAAATTAAGCTTTTATCGTACCTATTGTAACCGGCGCTCTCATTGTGCGTCCAGTGACCAACTGTTTTATTGGACATCTGTGAAAAAGAGCTTTATAGCTCATCGGATTCCATCATTATGAATTCTGATTCTGTTCACTGTATTGAGCCCCTTTTAATCTTGATTTGAAGCTTTCATGACTGTAGTAATCCACACTCTTTGGTTATTTTGGTAAAGTCACGTAGGTTTTAAAATAAAATAGCCCCTTTTTGTTTTGTTCATGCAGTGGGGTATATTCATCCACCTTATCTGTCATTTGCCCTCTCGGGAATTAATTTCCGAATGAGGGAGCTGTCACCGTGATGGAAATAGAAATCGGATTTTATAGATTCCAACTCCCATTCTTGTATCTCCATGGCCTTCGGTGACGTGTCACGTGAATGCGTGTACTGCCAGTTTGTCAGATTGTTAACACGCCACACAACGCACGTCATTGCCAAGCGACGTGAAACGTACGTTGACCGTGTCAGCAATACTGTACTTATGAAAGCCACAATGCTGCTGAGAACAGGGAACATCGCACCCAGGACAAAGCGCTCTTGTTTATGCGGATTAAATCTGACGAGCAAATACCATCAGACTTTTTTTCGTGATCAAAAAACGGTCACAGACAATGGCATTTCATGGGTCTGTCAATTGCAGATAAGACAATGGTACTGAGAGGAGGCTTTTTGCGTGAGCCACTTTTATGTGTTGACTTTCACCTTATTGGCTCGTTTTAGTGAATGATATCTGCTGCATACTAAATTCTAGTAAACACAATCATACATCATCCTTGCTTCAATAACACGTATTCATAACAACAACCTATTTGGCAAAGTAAAATGTAATCGCATTTGTATTGATTAATTGATTTATGAAGTGTCTAAATACAATTGGAAGGTTCTTACATGTTTATATTCAAATTTTCTCGGGAAATATTATACGCAGTCTTTCACGAACAATGTTATGATTCATGACTCGTTTATTTTGGGTTAGATCGTCGTGTAGCTATAATGCCAAATTATATCCTATAATATTCTTGGTTCTTTCGGTAAAGTCACGTTGAAGGGAAACAATAAAATAATAAAATATATATAAAACAATACAATTCTCAAAATTGTTTTATATATATTTTATTATTTGATTGTTTCCATTCAACGTGACTTTCCCGAAAGAACCAAGAATATGAATCACTCAGTCACGAAAGCTTTAAATCAAAATTTATATCCTTTGATGTTTAGTGGGCAGGTTGCTAACCATACATTTTACGTGACTTGCAGGGTATTTTGGGTGTTTTTGTGTAATGATGTCATTACATGTTGCACATTCTAAATATATTTTATTTACTTATTATTTATAATATTTCTCCTAAATAATTGCTTGAGGTGGAACATTTCTTATCGAAGGGTGTCAATTGACACGTACATATCTAACGCGTATTGACATGTATTCTTTTTTTCCTTTCCACTTGCACCCATCTCTGCGAGTTTGTGGTAGTTTTCATTGGCTGAAAATCACGAGAAAACGTGATTCTTGAACGTCAGTGTCGCCCGTCCACTGGGCTTGAGCAATCATCTTGAGCTGCAGAACATGTGTGCAGAGAGTTTTCTCATTTTCATTGGCTGAAAATTACCTTGGGTGCTGGTGAGAACACGTGGTTTCTGTTGTCACTTGCTGTGGAACGGCGTTACGACTGCTTAACCTTGCGCGTGCCAACTCTCCGTGTGACCAGCAGGGCAAGGAGAGCAAGCGGAGTCTCTGCCCGTGCTGTGTGGAGAGGAGCTCCGGGAGGCTCTGCGGAAACAGCTGGAGTATTACTTCTCCAGGTACGCGTGTAGGCCCGGTGAACTCTCCCTTGCGCTTTCCAGTTGTAACACGCAATTTCAGAATCTTTACAATCAGAATCTTTATTTCGACCGGAGTGATCCCATGAGCTCGTGTTCACTGATGTCCAGTACAGGCGGGTCAGCAATTGTGTTCGGCTGACATCCGAAGTTTCTCTCTGGCTGCTGCTAGAGCCGTACAGCACAGCTCTGAAAACCTACATGGAGATATTATTCACCTCTCTGTCACCGATACTTAAACAGTTTTTTTCATTTTACCTCTGATTAGCACGGTTGGCTATGTACGGTGTGAAAGAACTTCAATATACTTACCAAGTAAAGCCCACTGAGCTATATAGCTCTATTTGAGAAGCGACCAGGCCACAAATTATAGCTCAATGAAATGGCTTGTCATGTGGAAATGTATAGCAGCCAAATATTATAAACGCACGCTTTTGAATGTGGATGGAAAAACCGGGGGACCCGGAGAAAAATCCACGCGACCACGGGAGAACATACAAACTCCAAATATACAGCAGGCGTCAAGGTCGGGATGGAACCCACGAGCACCTGTATACCAGGCGAGGTAGTTAACATCTCGCCACTCTGGTGCCCCTTACAACTTGGCAAGAAGGTACAATGTTCTTCGCATAAAAAAGAGCAATGCGAATTGTATTAAATTCATGAAGAAGGTCCCAGAAAATGGCGGAAATGTCGTACATCCCGTAAGTAAACACATCGGAGATTTGGAGTGCACAACTGCAAAAAACCTACGCCTGCAGTAATATAGGGAATTCTGCACCAGAATCGTCTCTCCTTGGGGGGGGGGGGAGGGGTCAGCGGTTACTTCTCGTAGATTTAAGGGAACTTTTGCCAGCACGTCAAACACACACACACGCGCAGGGAAACAAGCGACCGTTTCACTTGGTTTGCATACGTTATTTTCTTGTCTACAATAGACACTACAAGAGTGATTCGTGACCAAGATACGTCAACTCGCAACACTTGAGAGCCCAGTTTAATCACAGGTGGCTTGCCTGGATTTGAACCCAGGGCCTCCAATGGTGCCAGCTCAGCATTCCGACACCTGAGCCTCCCGGCCATGTCTGGGCAAAGGAATCTCGACTCTTGCTGGAAGTGATGGGTGGGGGTTATGCTCGCACTGCAGTGAAAGTCAAAAAAACTAATCCGAACGTTTCCCTGCTGCACCAAGCAATGGCATAGCACTGCATTGCCATTGGAGGCCCTGGGCCAAGTGGTGGAAATTCCACATTGCCACGACGGGGTCAATCTATCCACTGTTCACTTCCCGTAAAAAAAAGGTTTCCTTGTTATCAAACCCGGGCAGGGTATCAGCGAGCGTTGACTCCCGCGTGGGATTTGAATGCAGAGCCTTATAGTCGTGAGCCAAGCGCTGTAACGTTAAAAACACCACTTTTTTCTTTACTTACGCTGCATTATAGAGGGAACATATGTGTGTGTGTATATAGCAACGTCCATAAGATGTGATGTTGGTGGAGGAGGGTGTGGTCAGATATGGTAATTTTAGGTAGCAATTACATTATCATGACCTTTAAACCGGTGGCGCAAGTGAACTGTACTCCGCATGGCCCAATGGATTATTTACATTAATATTTGCCTAGCCACTGTATCGGACGTGTAAATTTTAATTGGGTCATAAATACGCCAGGCGACTGCATATAAATCGGTGACTGTGTCATGCTGGCTTTAACCATTGCCATTTCAACTTCAAACTTTGTGGGGTTGGTACAGAAACACGTTTGTGCGCGTCACATTGCATGCAGTGAGTTTAGCAGACACGATTCCCCACACCCCTCCACCCAATAGGTTTCTCAACGAAGAGACAGTGTTGTGCGCTGATCAGAGTACACGACCCAGCGCAGTGAACTCACCAATGGCGGCCGCTCTTGACATGCCTAGGATTCAGGGGAAATGCCTCTGATGCTCGCAGGAGAGTGAAGAGGGTTCAGTTTATTCTGGGAGCGATGTAAATGATACCGCACACACCCCTAGTTTGGCATAGAAGTGCCATTCATCGCTTGCCTCCTGGATATTTGCGTCGGGCGTGTGTGGGTCAATCTTTTGATTTCCCGTTGGAATAGTTTATTTTTTTTGTTAATGCATTGCCTGAACAGTCGAGGGCTGTAAGACCGAGACAAGCGGTAGCCAGCGATACGGTCCGGAGCTGTGTGAAGGGACCCCTCTTGCTGACGGCCGGTTGATGTGTCACAATCTCTTCCCCAGTAATTTCCCCTGCCCTATGTCAGCTAACGTTTCATCAACCCATGGACCAACGTTTTATATGTTGGCACTATTTTCAGGTGGTATTTATTTTTATATATAAAAAAAAACACCTGTGGTGCCGTTACGGAGATGTTTTCTCTTCACAGTGGGAAGGTTTTGAGCTCTAACCTTGGCTGGAAGTTGACTCGACGCATCATCTGTCTGCAGCCAGTTAATATCTGTGCCTCTTTGTGGCAAACACATGGTTATTTGTCCCTTTTGGAGAGACTGTCCTCTGCCGTACGAATGTGGAATTTACAAAAGCGGCTCACGGCCACCAACAAAAGATGAGCATCGCCCAATGCTTATTTGTGGGCCGAGATGCACCCTGGCGTTTTTCTGTTGCTTTCTTTGGAGAAAAGCGCCAGGTTTTTTCCGCCAAGTTGTGAACGTCGCTCTTCGCGTCTTCCTGTCGGATTGTTTGGGGGAGCTGCCGGTTGGGGGTGGCCACGTGGAGACGGCGAACGTTCGCTCGGCCGGTCCGGCGCGCCCGCGGTGCGATTTCCAGCCTCGGCGCCGCGTTGGCGTTGTGACGTCGCCGCCGGGCCCTGTGCAACGAGGCTACTAAAAATAGGTTTCTGCTGCTTCAAAAAGGCGCAAGGAACCAGTGACATTTGGGTTGACCTTGGGAAAGGCCGTGACAGCCACGTTTTATAGTTGCGGGGTGGGAGAGAGTGAATGAAATGTGCCTTCTTTGATGAAGCGAGTGGCCTGCTTTATATATCCGCTTGTTCCTCACCTCGCCTTCATTGCGCATTGACACGGCACTGAATCACGACAAGGCGATAGACGCTCTGCGTGTTGTGATGCTGTGGAAAGCCAAGTCGTATTCCGTTTTATTACACCAATATATCTTCACCTGATATGCGATACAGTGAAAAACTGCCACAGTATGTTAAGATGCTCCATCAGACGTTACATTTCAAGGCAGGACTCGGAAGATGTTGGCTGCGCTCTGATGTGTACATAATGTTGCCATTCAACTTTGCGATCTCCCCGTAAGTTATTCACATGGTTATTATTCCATGTCAAGTCTTGTGATATGATGCCTTGCCGTATCTGGATTTTGACAATGAAACTAATTATTTTAAATAATTCCTCTTGCGTCAAAGATAACCAAAAATTTCCATGAAAGAGGGTTGGTATGTCTTCATCCCAGCCACTCCCAAAAGTATGCTTCTCCATCTAATTTAGACCAGAGCTGAAAGCGTGATATTTTTGGCACTGAAATATCGGGCAGTATGCAGTGTCGAATCTCACCTTCACAAATATCAACGAATGCCCTTTACCTCGCCCTTATTGCCTCTGTGCCAGTGAGAGAACGCTGACTATTTTCTAGAATATTGGCTTGAAAAATCTTGCACAGATAAAGAAGACCTTGACCCTTTGGCTTCCAATAATGTGTAAACAAAAATATGTTTTTCAAGGGCGAAGGTGCTGCCCTGCAATTGCTTGCTTATGTAACAAAATTAAACTTTATATTTTAGCAGGTGAGGCCCACTGAGCTATTTAGCCCTTTTTCAGAAGCGACCCAACCACAAATGATAGGTCAATGAAGTGGATTATCACGTGGACATTTATAGCAGCCGAATACTAAACTATAAAATATTTTTTTTATTTTACCAGGTAAGGCCAACTGATGTATATAGTTCTTTTTCAGAAGTGACCAGGCCACAAATGATAGCTCAACAAAAGTGGCTCATCATGTGGAAATTTATAGCATCTAAATACTATAAATGCATGTTTCTAAATGTGGAAGGAAAAACCAGAGGATCTGAAGAAAAATGTGCACAACCACGGGGAGTGAGAACATGCAAACTCCAAATATATAGGCGTCACGGTCGGGGATCGGACTCACAACCTGCATACCAAGCGTGAGAGTTAACATCTCGCCACCGCGGCACCCACTGTTGTTGGAAGGGCTATGCCTATAGGGAGTACTCACACTTTACTCCACCACTTGTGACCTGCCAATCCATTGACCTGGGTGGAGAGAGGTGGGGGGGGGGTTAATTATCTTGCCCATTTGGTTCAACTGCCACGCTGGCAGATCAAATTGAACTGTGACCATTACACCACTGTGGCAGCATCCCTTACCTTCAGTAAACAAATGCATATACCATCCGTAGCTGTGCTAGCAACGTGCCGGGTGAATGCATGTTTCCCAGTGTTTGAGTTCCTATACCGTTTTATTTTCACAATACAGTACGGTACTTTGTATGGAGAGCAGATGCCACCAATGTGAACGAGGCACACGTGGGGTTTCTGATTGCGCGTCTCCCAAGGCCTTGATTGTGACACACAACTCGCTTTGCCTTTCAGGGAGAACCTGGCCAAGGACTTGTACCTGGTAGCCCAGATGGACAGCGAGCACTACGTGCCCATATGGACCATCGCCAATTTCAACCAGGTCAAACGGCTGACCACTGACATGGATCTCATCGTCGAGGTCCTCAGATGTACGTTCACTGTTTCCTGCCATCGGTATTTGTCAAACGGGAGGTCACGGCTTGACGCGTATGTTTAGGCTGCGTGACGATCCAGCCAAATGTCTGTGGTGAGACCCCACCACCACTGTCTCACCACCATCGAACTACCACCCCACCAATACCCCACCGGCACCCCACCGGCACCCCACCGGCACCCCACCGGCACCCCACCGGCACCCCACCGGCACCCCACCAACACCCCACCAACACCCCACCGGCACCCCACCGGCACCCCACCAGCACCCCACCGGCACCCCACCACCACCCCATCAACACCCCACCACCACCCCACCAACACGCCACCAACACCCCACCAACACCCCACCGGCACCCCACCGGCACCCCACCAACACCCCACCAGCATCCCACCACCACCCCATGTGGCCTAAACCTTGTAAATGACGCAGTCTCCCCTCCTTAACCTCCGTCCGTTCCTCTCTTAAAGCCTCACATCTTCTCGATTGCCCATTCCCTTCCTCTCCCCCCCCCCCTCGCCCCATTCACACCTTCCCATCCCTCCCCTAATCTTTCGTGATCCCTGAGTGCCCCTCTGTCGCTGTCACTCATTCCTCAATCCTTGTAGCATGCCCATGCCATTGAAATCGTTCCATTCTGTCACCGCTTTTGTAAGGTGAAGCGCCTTGAGTGAAAGGGTTCTATACATATAAACTTGGTTAGATTAAGTCTGTAGGTTTGGCTTAGTGATAAGGGTAGCACAATAGTAATATATATGTATATGCACACACGTAATGGATTGCGTGCAAATGTAATGGATGTAAATTGCATCATCAATTGGTTTAAATGGAAATGTGAGGGTTTGGGTTAACTGAGGTTAACAACTTCAGATTTTACATAATGTCATTACTAATGCTGGTATGATACTAAATCACGAGGTATGCTCGCTGGATAGCGTGGCTGGGTAGCATAGAGGTCAATTCACTCGCCAGTGTTCCAATTAGCACAGAGTCATCAGGTCTGCTTCTACAGCCATTCTGTAATTGCTTTTTGGAATTACAAGTTAGAATTATCACACCTTGTAATATGTCTATGTATTCATGTTGAACTTCCTTCGCACTGTACACAGCCAACTGTGCCGATTGGAGGTGCGGGGGAAGGACATCAAAGTAAACACAAAAAATAGTTCCGAAGAAATTAGTTTTCAATCGAGATTTAAAAGTGCGTAGCTCCAGTGGCTTCCTAATATCCGAAGGAAGAGCGTTCCAGACGGCCGCAGAAGGGCATCTGAAAGCGCGCGATGAAGTGATCGTCTCATCGCGGCTTCTGCGATGATGACCGGAGTTCGCGTGATGCTTTATGCTCCTTCACAAGATCAGCAAGGACTCTGTGGTTCATTTGTGGCAAGCGTGCAGAGTGTGCGCAGGACCGCACACTCTGTACGCGGTCCATGCGATGGAACAATCCACCTAGTACCTGCACACGAGCAGATTTCATCGCTCCGTCTCCCTGGTGGACGTTGGGCCTGCATAGGGGCTGGTAAGGCGACCACCATGTAAAAAAAATACACGTGTAATGGGCACTGTGGACAGTAGAGGGCAGTACAGCGAAATTCATTGTACTCCGATTCACCAACCTGCAATGGTCAGCGTGGTGAAATATGGTTGAACAACCCCCACGGTTCCCAAGGCGTGGTGGAGGCCCTCATCCTGCAGTGTTTTGACAAAACAGACTGTCAACTTACAGGACTAGCAAGGGCGACCGTTATGAATGAACGACTGATTGCATACACGCAGAGTACAAGTTCGCTCGGCGGTCATTCATGTCACTGTTAATTAGGAAGCTGCTGGAGCTATGAACTTTTAAATCTGAATTGAAAGCTAATTTGTTTATAACTGCTCTTTGTTGTGTCGTCTGTTGTCCTTCCCCCCCCCACCCGCACCTCCGAATAGCACGGTTACCTACTTGAAATACGAAATAAGTTCAACACATATACATACGTAGACTCGCAGAGACCCCTGGACTCGCACAGAGACCGATTGACTCACACAGAGACTGACAGCTCATACCCATTCCGTACCCCCAATTAGCACGGTTGGCTACGTACGTTGCGAAAGAAGTTCATCACACATACATACATACATGGTCAGGGCGAGGTTGAGGCCTGCGGTTTGGAATGTGTTCCGACGTGTGACCCTAACATGAGGCTGCGATGTCATTGTCCTGCTGCAGCCTCAGCGATTGTCCACGTCGATGAGAAGGGGGAGAAGGTGAGGCCCAACCATGCGCGCTCTGTCGTCATCCTGCGAGAGATTCCCGAGAGCACTCCTGTCGAGGTACACGAGCGTGTGTTTGTGTGGTGTGCGCGAGCGTGTTACGTCGACTCGGCCTCAAATGAGTACCCTGTTGCGGTGTGTGAACATCGCCACCGCGGAGACAAAAGTGGGCATGCGTGGTGCTGGCCACCCCACCCCCTCGTGTGCCGTGCCGGCCTTCATAGGTGCTGCTTGCAAACAGCACTTGCCCCGACAGTCTGTTTATAATATATGGGGAATCTTTGTTTTTGCCCAAGCAATGAAGGTGAGCGGTAGTGTAGCGTTTAACGCGCTGCGCTACGAATCCGGCGACCCGAGTTCAATTCCCGCTCATGACCAACACCAGCGACGAATATCTCAACTGGTTCTGGGCCTCCCCTAGGTCGACTCAGCCTCAAATTATTTCCTGGTGCGGTGTGTAAACATTGCCACTGGGGAGACAAAGGTGGCTGGGCGTGGAGCTGGCCACCCACCCCCTCGTGTGCCGTGCCGGCTTTTATAGGTGCTACTCACTAACAGCACTTGCTTCAAGTCTGTTCAGGCTTTGAAGGGGATCTCATATTCACACACACATGTTGATGAATGTTCATTGTCATCTGGCCTCCCATTACCAGCAATTGGGCAAACCTTCAAGACTATGTGTTTCAACCATTGTTATTTAGCCAGGAAAGCCTCACATGAGTCTCGACACTCTTTTCTTCAGGAGGGTCCTGCCACATTTTCACAGCAGGGGGCGGTATCTCTCCATCCAATCCCGGTTGAGTAATTCGCAGATCGAGTTCCAGAGTTGGGATGCTTGGCCAAGTGTTTTCTTTTTTAGCTATGGGAGGAAACCGGAGAACCCGGGTGGGAAACCCGGGCATAACAGGGGGAGGGAACGTACACGCTCCACACAGAAAAGATTCCTGAATCTGTAATCGAACCCAGGACCTACTTGCTGCGAGGCGTGAGCGTTGCCACTCTGCCACCCCGAATGTGGGCCATAGCGGTTAATTAAAAAGGGTCGCTATGAATTTTTAGGACTGATTTTTTAACTACATATGGCAGACGATACTAGAAAGCCGTGCTCAAAAAAATAAATAAAAGTGTTTTACTCGTTTTATAAAGTACATTTAATTGATCTCTATATTAGTAATGTAATATATCTGCTGGCGGTACAAAACTGGAAGACACATCAAGAGTCTACTGTGGGCGGTTATTGAAAGCGGCACTGGATGAAAATCATGCAATAAATGATGACGACGGCAGATTGGGGCTCTTTGAAGGATCTGACCTCAATGATGAGGAGCAGCGTAGCAATGTGACTGCACAAGGAACGCTTTTCATTTGTGCATATTAGCCTCGACCGGCTACGCTGTGACGTACGGTCAAAACCCCCACGACCGGCACAGCGTTGGGAAGGCCTTCATCTAGCAGTGGATCGATAAAGGAGCTGTGCATTCCTGTGGGAGCGACCCCTAAAGATTGAATACTTAACAAAGCGTGGCCAAATCTAATTACTCATACGACAGAGTTTCAATTCAAACGGATTCCACATTCTTTCTGTGATGACGCGTACATTAATTGGCATCTCTTGCGTTGCAGCATTGCTCTGCGTTCGCCAGTTTGCCGCAGTGTAGCGGGGGATTTAGAGTCTTCGAATCGGCATTGCAGTCCATGTTCAGCTCATGAAGTATAAAAGCAATGGGGGGGGGGGGGGGGGTCAGTGCTCACTTCAAATCCTTCCATGTACATTTTAAAGTATTGATATGTAGAATCTAAACTAAACTATTTTTTTATTTTTGTACCAGCTAAGGCCCACTGAGTTACGTAGCTGTTTTTCAGAAGCGATCTGGCCTGATCAACTGATAGCTCAACAGTGTGGGTTATCGCGTGGAAATTTATAGCAGCCAAATACTCTGAACGCGCGATGTTGATACTGAATGTGGAGGGAACAACTGGAGGACCCGGATAAAAATCTACGAGATGACGGGGAACGATACGCTAACTCCAAATATACAGCAGCGGGCGTCAGGGTTGGGATTGAACCCACGCACTCCTGCATACCAGGCGAGGTAGTTAACATCTCGGCACCCTGTAGAACAGGGGGTCAAAATGTTCACGTTTAAAATAGATGTTTTCGAGCATACATTCAATGTCTAAATGAACCGCGCGCCACTTTACGTGAACGTGACGAACTCTGCATCTAATATATATATCAGATTTAAACACCGTTGCTATAAAAAGACAGAGATCCCCCCCCCCCCCCCTGTTGAGGCAAGTTAGACTGTTGGGTCACGTACTACTAGCAAGTACGTGCTAAGTGGCCAATGAGTGTTGCTATAAATACTGCTTTGTGCTGCGTGTGACCCCGGTGCATTGCGCTGTTTGCATTGTGAAGGAGATAAAGATAGCATCGACGTGATATTGTCTTTATGTGTGTGTGTGTGTCTGTGCAGGAGGTCGAAGCGATATTCAGCAGTGAGAACTGCCCCAAGCTGAGCAGCTGTGAGTTTGCTCACAACAGCAACTGGTACGTGACCTTCGACTCGGACGAGGACGCCCAGCAGGTGAGGTCATGTCGCACATGGAGGCGCCTGTGTCTATTTGCGGGGCTCGACTCCATCTCCCTGGCGCGGCAGTTAATGGGGCAAGTTTTGTTGAAATTCCCTCGCCTCTGACCCACCCAGCAGTTTGTGTATGCACGTTGAACTTCTTCCGCACCGTACGTAGCCAAACGTGCTAATGGTAGGTACGGAATGGGTTTAAATGTGTACGCCTGAGCTGGCCGATCAGCAAGGTCACACGTGGTGGGGTAAAGTGTGGGTACACGGCACCTCTTCCAACAAGTCGTCTGGCCACCGTGGGAGTGTGGGCCGAGTGGCCTCAAGAGGGGCTCTCAAGAGCGCATTGGCGTGAGCAAGCCATTGCAGGGGCTTTACCTTTATCCTTTTTTTGACATCTACATGTACATGTATATATATAGACGTCAAAAGGTACGCCAAAAGGATTTCAGCTAAACCCCGGTAAAGCACGGGGGTATTTTGTCCCGGCTTTCTCTGAACAACGTTGGGTCCCACAGAAGCCCCTTTGTTGTCTTTCCCCGACGGACTTTACGGGGTTATCGACGGCTCGTGAGCCGGTCTGTGGATTGCATCGGGAAGTTCTGCATTTTTTGTGTAATGCCTACTCCGTTTTTGGACCTGGCGAGAACCCAGTTTGACCTTGGGTAAATCATACGGTTAATTAAGCGTCATTAGTTTTCGTAATTTGTTGGCGCGTTTGAAATTTAGGTGGTGACATTGGCACACAATAACCTAACCCCTGCAAATGGAATCGGCGATGCGGAGCAAAAGTTTGTTTGTTTTTCAAACGTAACTTTTTGCAATTTTAATACTGTAGTAGACTTTCGCAACCAATATTATCCATAATAGAGTTTTTTTGGGTTAGATCACGTAAATTTAAATGTTATCATTAAACCTGCCCACCACCCGACACAGCCAATCAGTAGGGTTTGTCATGTAAACCAAGCGTGCCAATTGGTTACTAATTCAGCACACCAGTGTGTTGGAGAGTAAAAAACTCACAATTGTAATTGTTGTGGGTTGTAATTGTAAATGTTGTGGGTTTACTCTTACAATGATATTTACGGGATCTAAACGAAAAAAACATCTTTTAGATATTTTTTGCAGTGGAGGTAGCGCTGTAGCATAGGTGGCTAATATAGCGCATTTTGTGTGTCATAGCAACAGACCAAAATTACATCCATTCTGCGTTTTAATCGTAATGGTCATTTTGAGATCACACCCGGTTCTCCAGTGTAGCAAAGTGTTAGTCTCAGCTGGGGGCCACGAATGTGACTGTGAATAAAGGAAAGGAAAATCAATATTTTGTTTGAGCCTGGTTTGATATGTTGCAGGCGTTTAAATTCCTTCGAGAAGAGGTGAAGACATTTCAAGGCAAGCCCCTTTTGGTGAGTTCGCGTTGTGCGCCACACAGCGCCGACCGACAATTTTGGTCGGAGATTTTCTCAGCAAAACGAAAAATAAAATGACGTACATCAGGGTCAATGGAAATGGACAATATTAAAACGATGGCATCATTGCGGTCGTAAAATCCAGACAGCCGGGACGTAAACTCTCCTTGTCAATTACGACCACATGTCAATCTCCAATTGATAGTCGATATTGGGAATCGCCTTCTATTGTCATTGACAATCTTATAACACTGTACTGTAGTGTCCTTTATGTTGGAAAGCTTTACTGAGAATGTACAGCCGACCGTCCTGTCATGGGAAGTTAGGCCAGTTTCTCGAAATTAATATTTATCGCATTGTACGAGATTGGAGTATTTAGAAAAAAGGCATGCAAATCAGTGGGAAAAACTTTGATATGCGGATTATGTCAATCTTGTGGGACATCTATGTCATGACTTTTCATGTTTTCTAAAAGCCCCCAAGAATTTCCAGCAAGACATTGTGTTTATAATTTATTCTAATGGTACTGTCAGCGTCATGTCATGATACAGAGCCCATTCAGAACTCTCACAGAGCGGTGCGTACTGTGAATGTGCTGGAGAATGGCCTGCAGAAGCAGCTGTGACAGAACTATATCATGGGACCCTTTTTTGCCATTATCAAAGTATGAATAAGAAGAATAGGAGGTTTACCCTTTCTGGCAATAAAACAGGTGTTAAGATGCACAGACACCGAAAGATACCTTTTGCAAGGAATCAAGTCTGCATTAACCACACGTATTTATGGTGAACATGCAAATAAACATGCAAACGAAAGGTCTCTATTTGGTGTTTGAACATCTTAACACCGACATCATGGGACCTCCTTTGCCAGTACCAAATTATGAGAATAGGTTTTCCCCTTTTTTCTGGCAACAAAACAGGTGTTATTCTTGGCTCTTTCGGTAAAGTCATGTTGAAGGAAAACAATAAAATAATAAAAAATATTTTATATATTATTTTATAAAATAATAAAATATATTTTATATCTTATTTTATTGTTTCCCTTCAATGTGACTTTACCGAAAGAATCAAGAATATGAATCACTGCAGTCACGAAAGCTTTAAATCAAGGTGTTAAGATGTTAAAACACCAAACTGACACCTTTGACAAGGAATCATGTCTACATTAACCACAATACCTGTGGTCAGAATGCAAAACGCCTTTTGGCGTCCTCTGGTCTAACACCATTGAGACGCGGCTAAAAAGAAAGCTGTCTCTGGTGTGGACCAATCGGTTTCAAGGACAATGCCACATATATTATCAGAGTTAGTTTTTTTGTTTGCATTCTGACCACAAGCATTGTGGTTAATGCAGACATGATTCCTTGTAAAAGGTTTCAGTTTGGTGTTTTAACATCAACTGTTTTATTGCCAGAAAGGGTGATACCTATTCTTATTTTTCATACTCTCGCAGAACCACTTCCGAGTCCAAAGTAAGTGGGCTCTATCCACACACTGGGGGTGAACTTTACCGCATGCCCTGCTGCAGAGAAATGCTCCTCAATAAAGAAAACAATAGAACCGTTTCAAACATGAGAGGCATGGGATGGGGGGTGGGGCGGGGAAGGAAAGAACGTGCTCCCAGCAGTGTGGCACGAGCGAATAATCGCAGGGCTCCACCTCACACCCTTACCTCACACGGTCCGTTTGACCGGCGCAACGTCACCCACCCACGGCCGTCCAGGTCCGCATCAAGGCGAGGCCCGTAGCGCTTGCATCGGCGCCGCCGAAGAAGGGCTACCCGCTGATGGGGAGCGGCAGCCTTCAGCCGGCGCCCCAGTTTGTGGTGCCGCTGTTCGTGCAGCCCGTGTACGGCCCTCGGGGCGCCCAGCCACAGTACTCCCTCTACGGGGTCCCCGCCGCGGGATGGACCACGGCCCAACCCTACGTGGACGCGACTCTGGTGAGTCCCTGCTCTCCTCGGCACCGCTGTGGGCCTCACGCGCGAGCGAGACTCGGACCTCCCAGCCACCTGCTTGGCTGCGGTGCCACGCGTGAAGTCAGCGGGCTTGCGATGCTTTGCTTGATCTGCTATCATTACCATTGCCACTTGCGGGACCACTCAAAGCAGGGGTCGGCAAACCAAAACATCAACAACGAGAGATATTTTTTTTTCCAATTCGGTCAAAAGAGTTTCAAGAGACGCAATGCATGTCAATACGAGCTCTCGGTCCTTCGTAAATAACATTACGAAATAGTCCTTAATGACCCCTGCCCATGGTAAACTGAACCTCCATGGTCAGGGGTCGGAAACCAAAATAACAAGAGGAGACATTTTTGTTCTCGAATTTTCAGAGCCGCACTGCAGTTCCTTAAAAGAGTCGCCGTATGCGGCTCCGAAGCCGCAGGTTTGCTGACCCCTGACCTAAAGGTTCATAGATAGAATCAAAGACAAATCGCTCACCGATGTGTTTTTTGGTTGTGCTGCGGGGTTGTTTGGAACTATGTCCGACGTTTAGATTCACGTGCTGGGAGCTTTTTCAGGAAGGGAGGCTCACAGTGACACAAGAAACGCTATAAATGCATCCATTGATTCCAGAGAAGGAAAATAGACCAATTAAAACTTTAACGAGTGCATTGAAAAACGCGAGTGCATCGACCGGGCTTCTGTTGTGTTAAGTAGGTCATCGACCCTTAGCTGTGGCCAATGATTCTGGTCTCGCAGAAAGACAGACATTTTATAACAAGCAACAATAATAATCATTCTCTGCCCCTCCTCAATCCAATGCTGGTTCTTTGACCATACTTCACCATGCTGGTCAGTGCAGGTTGGTGACATAGGGGGCAGTCAGAACCAGTTCATGCTGTCTGCATAGGAGAATACTATTGCTCGTTGTGCTCAGGGCCTCCAGTGGATATGAGCATTGCCCCATAGTCGCTTCCTCTCTCAAACCTGTGTCACATAGTGCATATTGTGCACATTCTCTCAATCACATTGATCCAGGCTCCACTCCAACCGCCCAAGGCCAGATCGCTTGTATTTGCCCAGTCCGGGGCTTTGCCGAGGAGGTCGTTACCTTCAATGTCAGTCGGTGCTAAGAGGTGGCCTCTGAGCTCGAGCGTGCAAACAGAACTTGGTTGTCTTCTGGAGACTGACCCTTGCCCTAGCATTGTGTTTTTTTCCACCACTGGCTTTGGGCCACTACGAGAGAGATGGCCCCATACTCGCGTGAGCAGGGAGACAATGTGACCCCCCACCCCCCCCCCCCCCCCCCCCCGTGGTTACTCCGAAGATTTTTATGACTGTCATGGCATTTATTGCCTTTTCCAGGCACCTTACTCCAGCATGGGTTATATGAATGGATACACATACCCGGGCACGTTCAAAACCAGTGCACTTTTACCGAATGGAACAAGACAGCACTTGTGGAGAAGCAGGTAACTGACGGACACTGTGCATTCGCGTTGTGGACCACATCACATCAGTGCCTTTGGACTTTTGCTGGAAAACTAAAAAACAACATCCTGACTCATTTTAGAGAAGTTTTAGAATAGAATGCCATTGCTTTAAATTTGTATATTTACATCTTGTTTCTAAACTGACACGGCATGTTTATAGTCAAACAGAATTAATATTAGAAATGTAGAAAACAAGACCTGCATAATGCCGTGAAAATGCTTTGAATTTATCCCTTGTTTAAGTTGTAACACAGCTTGAAAAATATTTAATTTAACAATTCAGAGCAAGGCGTTTCACATTTTTTTTCACTTGTATTGATTTTTTTTTATTTTGAATTCATTACCCAAAGGACAACTTCAGAAGCATCGATCATTTCCACTTCTCTGATGTTTTCCCGACAGATCTTATCTAATTTTTACATAATCTAATTTTAAATATAATTTAAATGGTTTCGATTGATATTTTGGTTGTTGTTGCAGAATGGGCCAATCGCACAGAAAGACGCCACAAACTTACAGGTAATATTTCACTTCCCGACTCTGTGTTAAGATACCAAATTGTGTAATGAATAATTTGAAAAATGGCGATTTAGGTTTACCGATGTTATTACACAAGCAATCATCATCAGGTGTGGTTTTCACACCTGATGATGATTGCTTGTGTTGCAGTCGAAACGTCGTGAGAATTTTATTGTTTTATATTTTTATTATTTTATTGTTTCCCTTCTACGTGACTTTACTGAAAGAACCAAGAATATGAATCCCTGCAGTCACGAAAGCTTTAAATCAAAAGTTATTAAAGATGTCGTGCATTTGGAAGATGAGGTGTGAGGCATTCGCTTCTTCTCTTCTGCTGCTCACAGTCTGGAACTCCCTCCCTCTGAGATAGTTACACACCCCGTCTTCTAGCCCATGCTTGGTGGCTTGTTGACTATGGTGATGATGACATGATCATAATCGAAATAATCATCCAGGTCGTGCTCGTCTCTCTCTGCCTATGGTTCGTCTGTCCCATGATTAATTTTTCACTAAGATTGTACTGTAGCCCTATTCCCCTCCTAGCCCTATTCGTCTCACACCCGACCTCCCCTCGTCCGTGTAAACGATTTCTTCTCGGAAGAAAATCACCCTAATAATACGACGTCTAAGGCAGTGACCCAATGGGGCTTTTTTGGATCAACGTATTCCTGTTGAATTTATCTAAACGAGGCAAACCACTCACTCGACAACACTTTGAAGAGCCTCGTCTGCACGGTGTGGCCCATTAAAGAATGCTACTACTGGGTTGTGTTGGTGTTATAGTCAAGTGTTGTCGACAAACCTAAGTCACGTTCACCAGCGCACAGTGAGATTTTGTACAGAAATAAAAGTATAGCAAAACACATTAAGCACCGATGTAGATTACAGCTGGGCGATTCTCTTGATTCTCAGCAGTGCAACTCAGTTTGATTCTTGTATTGAAATACGATTCCTCAATGGATCGTGGGATCAGCAGCCTCGTAGAGAATCACGGGTGGGGTAGGGGAATGGACTGTGCAGTGCCCCGGCGTGGCATTGAAAGGTTGTAATAGCAGATGCCTATGCGATACGTTCAAATGGCTAATCTGGGTGGTATTTGAGTTGATTTCAGTCGGGTGGTATTGGCCAGAAATGCCATTAAAACATAAGGCTAGTGCTTGGAAGCGACCGAGTTCCACTCCCAATTCTCAGATCTGCTCATTCTGGTCTACTTATCGTTCCAAAGACAAGGCTGTAGAGAAATTCTATGGGAGGCGGTGCCTTCTGCAGCCAGGCTTCGCCATTGTTGAATCCACTCCCTCGGTCCGTTGGGGATTTTGAGTCTCACTTTTTTTCAATCGCGGCTTGAAACGCGGAAGTTTGTACTACAGGCTTTCCGTGTAACTTAAGATTTGAAAAATCATATTTGTTGTCCGATTGGATTGCTGTGTAATTATTTTTATTCGATGTTATCAAAGTTCTTCATTTTATTGGAATTTCGAGTGTAGTCATTGATATGGTTATTATCAGCTTTCTATTTCGCTTAGATTGTATCTATACTTGTGAGTGTAGTTTTTATTTTCATGTCCAGCACTTTGAGATACTTCAATATGAAAGGTGCTTTATAAAACAGAGGTTGCTATTACTGTAGCATTCAAGAAAGGCAGGAGGGCCTACAGGACCTGGATGGTCTCGTTAAGGCCAGCTTCAGCATGGTCCTTACCCGCAGCCAGGATGTTTGAACCTTCCATGGCAGAATCCCTGGGAGAATCCCATCGCCCAACGAATGGAGATTTTAACACGGGAATCGCCTATACAGCTTAAGAATCGTCATTGCTTGAACAAAAAAAAAAAAAAATCGTCCGGGTTGGAATAATTTCGAATCGATTACGATTGCCGCATGAATTATCGCCCCCTCCCCCCCCCCCCCCGGTCCGTAATGTTACGGTCGCGTACGGCTTTCCGCTCGTTCTCCGCCTTCTCGCAGGCAAAACGGCAAGAACGCCAACACCGTGCCTTCCGGCGGCTTCGCTATCGAGGCCGAGGCCCCTTCGTCGAGCGAGCGGGGAGAGACGTCGGCCCGCACCGAGGCGGCGGCTGGCTCGGGGAGGACCTGGCGTGGGCGGAGAGACTCGCACCCTGCTTGGGGGGAGCACCCCGCCGTCGCCGCCGCCGCCGCCGCCGCCGCCGCTGAGGAAGCCTTCGCCCCCACAGGGAGGGGAAGGTGATTGCAACACCCGTTGAGCAACAGGCGCACGACTGTGCCCGCTCAAGGACATTTTTTTCGCGGTGACACGAAGGAAAGCCCTGCCGCTACCGTGTGGCTTCGCGCAAGCGGTGTGTTAACGCTTGCCAGCGCACGGGGAGTGGTTGCATGCTAACAGCACTTGCCCCAGCAGTTTGCTGAGGCTATACCGGGGGAGGGGGGGTCTTTGTTTTTTTGGTAAGCGCAAGTGTTCAAAGCCTTGCATTTATCGTATTTTTTTTTGCCCGTTTGAAATTCCGTCATGCTTTTATGAAAGAAGTTCAACACACAGTACATACGTCTGACATTGCAGTGTCGTGGTGCCCTCTTTCTTCAAACTTATAGTACGTGTTAGTGACGACAGTGCTTTAACATTGCTGGCCTGATCTCATCAGGCCTTAGAGGCTTAGCGGGGTCAGATCTGTTTAATGCTTGGGTAGGATCTACAAGGTTGCATCAGATAAAGTGACATTTAATTATGAATAGGGGATCGTCTCCTTTTGGCCGGGTCCATCTAATGCCCCGGAATAGTGCAAGAGGAAACGTCCGAGGTGCAGTTGCTTTGTGGACGTTACAAGTACAGCGTCGGGGTGTTCATTAATGCGTCTCGGGTTAAACTTTCATTTTAAGTTGGAACCATTTCCGCCATTTGCGTTACTCTATTGCATGATAATATTTGACATTGTTTCTGTTATTACCATCATCATCATCATCTGCCATGAACTATTCACTGTTGGATGAAGATCTCTCCACACTGACAGAGTTTCTCTTCTGGCAGCTGAATGTGTGTCAGAGATGCTTCTTGGTGGATATGTTAAGCAGAGTTAGGGCTCTACATAAAGACTGTAAAATTACGGCCATATTATTTACTATTACACGTACTGGTGTGACCCCCACATAATTTAATAGCGTTATGAGATAATAGCAACGACTAAGGTTATTTTGAGTGCTGGCTAATGCCTGGTATGCTGTATAGCGACAAAATATAGTTTTATATATTAGGTGTGTTCGTGTTCCTCTTGCGAGATGGATTGTGACTCGTGCACATTAACCATTCTCCTGAACGACTCTGGTCCCTTGGAAAGATTTTAAAGGTTGGGTTGTGAACATGAGGTACATTTCAAAGATGTTAATTGAATATTCATGTCAGCACCTGTACGGGAGGTGACTCACACGTGCCTTGACGTCAGGCTGGAGTTGCCGATTTTAAGGCCGTTATTCCAGCACTACGTACGGTGTAATAAATATTGCCATTGGTTGTGATTTGCTGTTATATCTCTGCAGACGCACCAGCTACAGGGGGAGAAGACGAAATGACGATCGTCCAGTTGTGAGTGAATGTGTTTTTAATTGTAACATTTCACATTTTACCCGCTGGAATGTGTTCACAGTTGCTCGCAACATTTTTAAATCGTAGTGCCCAGAGCCTCCAGTATGTGTGTTGCTGGCAGTGCTGCCACCCAGAGATGCAACCTCAGCACTCATCACACAGAGAGCCTCTTTTTGAGTGCTACCCCAGGCTAGGTTGGCTGCTGTTGTGGAAACAGTTTACCCACACTTCTTATGAGCTGCCAGAACCCCCCCCCCCCCTCCCTCACAGCTCCTACTAAATATTGCGAAGCTTGGGAATAATATCGGCAGCCCGTCACCCCCCAACAGTGACCGTGCAATGGAGTGACTGACCACAGCTATCAATGGAATGACTGGCCACAGTTATCAATGGAGAGACTAGCCACAGCTATCAATGGAGTGACTGGCCACAGTTATCAATGGAGAGACTGGCCACAGCTATCAATGGAGTGACTGGCCACAGCTATCAATGGAGAGACTGGCCACAGCTATCAATGGAGTTACTGGCCACAGTTATCAATGGAGAGACTGGCCACAGCTATCAATGGAGTGACTGGCCACAGTTATCAATGGAGAGACTAGCCACAGCTATCAATGGAGAGACTATCCACAGTTATCAATGAAGAGACTGGCCACAGTTATCAATGGAGAGACTGGCCACAGCTATCAATGGAGTGACTGGCCACAGCTATCAATGGAGAGACTGGCCACAGCTATCAATGGAGTTACTGGCCACAGTTATCAATGGAGAGACTGGCCACAGCTATCAATGGAGTGACTGGCCACAGTTATCAATGGAGAGACTAGCCACAGCTATCAATGGAGAGACTATCCACAGTTATCAATGAAGAGACTAGCCACAGCTATCAATGGAGAGACTGGCCACAGCTATCAATGGAGAGACTGGCCACAGTTATCAATGGAGAGACTGGCCACAGCTATCAATGGAGAGAGTAGCCACAGCTATCAATGGAGAGACTGGCCACAGCTATCAATGGAGAGACTATCCACAGTTATCAATGGAGAGACTGGCCACAGCTATCAATGGAGAGAGTAGCCACAGCTATCAATGGAGAGACTGGCCACAGCTATCAATGGAGAGACTATCCACAGTTATCAGTGGAGAGACTGGCCACAGCTATCAGTGGAGAGACTGGCCACAGCTGTCAATGGAGAGAATATCCACAGCTAGCAATGGAGAGACTAACCACAGCTATCAATGGAGAGACTGGCCACAGTTATCAATGGAGAGACTGGCCACAGCTATTAATGGAGAGACTGGCCACAGCTATCAATGGAGAGACTGGCCACAGTTATCAATGGAGAGACTATCCACAGTTATCAATGGAGAGACTGGCCACAGTTGTCAATGGAGAGACTGGCCACAGCTATCAATGGAGAGACTAGCCACAGTTATCAATGGAGTGACTGGCCACAGCTATCAATGGAGAGACTGGCCACAGCTGTCAATGGAGAGACTGGCCACAGTTGTCAATGGAGAGACTGGCCACAGCTATCAATGGAGAGACTGACCACAGTTGTCAATGGAGAGACTATCCACAGTTATCACTGGAGAGACTGGCCACAGCTATCAATGGAGAGACTGGCCACAGCTATCAATGGAGAGACTATCCACAGCTATCAATGGAGAGACTGGCCACTGCTATCAAAGTTTGGAATTGTAAATGCTTGCTTTGGCCCACCATTTGAGATGATCACTGCCCAATTTTAATTTAGCATGGAGATATATATATTGTCTTGATATGAAATAGAATGTTAATATATAATTTATGGGTGGAATGATTCCCCCCTGCTATTTAATGGATATTTTATTTATAGTCACGTTACAGTGAATGCTATGGAGCCTCATGTGGCTGCAGTTTGCTGTGAACGCATTACTTACCATGTACACAAATCGAAACACATTGATTCTTACACGCACAACTGTGAGCTCAACCATTGACATAAATCCACAAATCAATACATCGCTCCACCCCAGTGCTAATTGAAACCTCTTACTTAATCGCCTCTACATTTGCTTTTGTTCTTGTTGCAGACGCTGAATATTGTAAGTGTGAATATTCATTTACTTCTGATATGAGTAATAATGGTGCTACGGTGTGTGTGTGTGTTGATGGTGGTCTGTGGGGAGCAGCAGTGTCGTGGTTATCCACCACCAATATCATTAACGATTGCTTAAACCTGTCCTGGGCCTCCCCTAGGTAAACACAGCCTCAAATGAGTACCTGGTGCTGTGTGTAAACATCGCCACTGGGGAGACAGAAGCGGTCGGGCGTGGTGCTGGCCACCCACCCCCTCGTGTGCCGTGCCAGCCTCCATAGGTGCTGCTCGCCAGCGGCACGTGCCTCAACAGTCTGTTGAGGCTCTGTCTTTCTTTGCCTTGGCCTTTTTTATCCGAACACCAAGGGCGGACAGCAGCTTCAGACGAGCGAGCCGGCGAGCCCGGCGATGTCGCGCTTCGAGCTGGCCGCCTCCAGCTTCCCCCCGCTGCTGCCCGCCACTCCCGACAAGCCGCACGCCGCCACCGCCGCCGCCGCCGCCGCCGCCGCCACCGCCAAGCCGAAGGCAGAGGGAGGCGGCTCCTCCTCCTCCCAGCCTGCCGTCCCCGCCGGGAAGCCGCAGCCGGCCACGGTGAAGGGCTGCGCGTCCTCCCTGAGCTTTCGCCGGTCGGCGTCTTGTCACTCGCCATGGTCTCGTTTTCCGGGCGCATCGCCGCCGCCCGCCGCCGCCACCCACCGCCGCAAACCCGGTTTCCGGAGAGTTTTGCCCCCCTTTTGTTAATCATTCTCCACGGCCAAGTGGGGGCCCCACGCTCACAATTAATGGGCCACTGGATGAGCACTCGCTTGCGGTCGGGTGTTAACGCAGAGCCGTAAGAATGGTTGTGGTTCAAACTGCATCGCTTTAAGTGTAATTGTTGTAATTCGCTTCATTTTCTCTTATGGATCGATGCACCCCTGCATTGAACTGTGTAAGTGTCAGAAAAACTAAGTTGACAGTGGACATTATGTATGTTGAACTTCTTTCGCACCCTACATAGCCAACCGTGCTAATTGGAGGTGCAGGTTGAAGGACCAAAAACTAAACACAGAAACGGTTCTATAGAAATAAGTTTTCAATCTAGATTTAAACGTTCATAGCGCCAGTGGCTTTTTAATATCGGAAGAGCGTTCCAGACAGCCGCAGAAGCACATCTGAATGTGCGTGATCCAGTGGTCGTTTGAATGGAAACGAAAGGTAATAACAGTGTTATTTTACGTAATAGTTGTTGATCTTTACTTAACCAGTGGCCACACTTACGAACTTCATGCAGAATAGCTTGTACCACCACTCCCTCATTTACATCTGCCATTTGCAAGTTGCAGATGTCAACGAGGGAGTGGTGGTACAGAGTGCACAACAGTGCATGTTTGGACAATGTGAAGAGAGAGATGGGGATTGCATGCCATTCATTATCAATCCATTGCGGGAAACCGACAGCAACTGTATTGGCATATGCCTGTTTTATTACGGGACGTTTTAACTACCTTTAGGTTGTGAATAACGACTGTAAAGCTCGTCTAATGTAAGAAACATGCATTGTAGTTATTGCTCGTTCAATCTCTGTCTACCAGTTGGCATTGGCCCGTCATTTGAAGGAGCATGTATTGGCTTCAACAGCGAGGCGACTTCCTTGCGTTGCATACTGACGTCAATAGTCTACTGATAACTGGGTGTAGTGGCTGACCCCAGTAATTTCGTTTCGGAGCCATGGTCGGTGCAATGCTCTGAGATTGTGTGCAACACACCCACTTAGATTGTTACGCATGGCAGGCTGTTGTTCTTGTAGCAGTGGCTTCACATTCATGAGGAATCTTCGTTTACAAAAAATATACTGCGCTCGCAGGCGTCTGCATGTACGGCTTTAACGACGTTGGTCATCACGTGATGTATTCCCTTGTTGTTTTGCACAGACCAAAGCTGAGGAGGTTCCAGGCGTGTCGCCCCCACCCTCCTCCCCATGCAAAACCCAAACGGCACAGATCTCCGTGCCCAGACCCAGCTTGCCATCCGCATGCAGTGTCAGGTGAGCTGAGAGAGTTGGGGCATGGAGCACCATTAGTTTTCAAATAATGTTGACGTCTGATTATTCGGTATCCAGTAAGCTGGTAACGGTTTGTAACTGTTTATTTTACATATAATTGTTATTAATATCATGCTGCATACATCAAGCCTTTGACCAAGCTACCCAGAATGCTCAGATCCCTTATGATCTCTGACTCTAAGCAAGTTGAGCCTGGACAATGCTTATATGGGTCACCAACGTGCACACAACACGTGTCATCGGCTGCTGTGGTTCTACGTTGTCGGCAGCATCGGCCAGTGCAGTAAAATCCGTTGTTATACTGCACCTATATGCTCCCACATCTATGCTACCTCCCTTTACCGACCCACACTGATCAGCGTGGTGAAGTATGACAAAGTAACTTCTATGACCCAAACAGTGTGAGGAGGCCCTCATTTAGCAGTGGATCGATACAATATCTTAACATGTACTTGCGTCGAGTTTCCCATGTAGGAGTCAATCCATGTATTGGCCCCGTTTGATTCGTGCAAACTATGCATGTCCTTTGAAATCTCGCCGTCAATGTTATACGTTCTGCATGCACCGTACTGACAAGAGATAATTCTCAATGTGAATGTAATTGTGACCTCAATTCTGACAATTCATCACACCAAGGAGAGACGGATATTACATGTCCCGTGTCAAATACACTCATGGAGGTGAATGGCACTAAAGCTCAGTTGGGAGTGGTCGTTCATTCCAAGATCATCACGTGTCCAAGCACCTGACCTGCAGTACCTTGAGGTGGCCAGTATGTGGCAGTGTGGCATGCTGCTGATCTGTCCATGGTTGTTTAAAGCGGGTTAATGTTCTTCCTTGGTTCTTTTGGTAAAGTCACGTGGATGGAAAATAATAATAAAAATCATGTTTTGGTGCAGTTTTCTTCTGTATGGGAAAATAACTATTAAGGAATAGATAAAACATACCTGGCAAGACCCTCATTAAAATACTATTTAGACTCATAATTTCTCGTATCAAAGACCATTCTTTAAAAAAAGGGTGTCACTTAAAAATACGCGGTGCGTGGATGTCACCATTTCTTAAATTTGTGACTGTAAGGTTTTACATACCGAACAATGTGATAATCGACATATCTCACTTTAGTCACTTGCATTTGAGCTCCATTTGTGAGGTCCAATCACACATTTGATTTCACTTACCAGGACATGTGTGATGGGTTGCTCCTGTTGAATGTGTGTGTCCTGTGTGTGGGGAGCGGTGGTGTAGCGGTTAGTGCGCTGTGCTACGAACCTGGCAACCCGGGTTTGATTCCCACTCGCGGTCAACACCAGTGATGATTATCGTAACCGGTCCTGGGCCTCCCCTAGGTCTACTTGGCCTCAAGTGAGTACCTGGCGTGGTGTGTAAACATCGCCACGAGTGAGACAAAGGTGGCCGGGCGTGCTGCTGGCATGTGCCATGCTGGCCTTCATAGGTGCTCGCAAACAGCACTTTCCCTAACAGTCTGTTCAGGCTATACGGGAGATCTTTGTGTCCTGTGTATCACTGTAGCCCACAGTCCAGCCTTGAGAGAAGCAAACCCCCCAGCCCTCAGCCAGCTGCTGTGGAGGTTTCATTGACAGCGAATGAGCAGGAGAAGGACTGCACGACTACAGCCAAGGCCATTCAACCTGCAGAGCCACAACCCGGCAGCACAGACACGAAGGTACGTCGCGCTGAGATTCATTCTCAACGGTACGTTATTTAGAAGGCAGCAGTCTTATTTTTTTCTGTCGTTGTTGGGTGCTGGATATCTGTGAAAAAGAGCTTTATAGCGCATCGGATTCCTCCAGTATAAATATTCTGATTCTGGTGCAATTTCTGAGACCGTGCTGTTTCCAGAGCTACGTTGTTAATTAGACGTAACTTAGCTGTGCATCGGGACAATATTTTGTTGTTTAAACATGGAACGTGTAAAACAGAGCGCCAACGAATTAACTCATTATGCGGTTAATTATAATATACTGCTTAATCATGTATTTACTTTCAAGATATATTCAGCAATTTATCATTTATGTTACAGCTAGACGATAGCCCATTGGGGTGATTGCTTATGAAGGTTAGCCTTGGGAAATAACACAGGAATAGCCTACAAACGGATCACTCATCAAGGTACTGGAGCAATTTAGATGTGTTTGTTTTGTTACATTTGTACTTGTGTTAATTGGAATTGTGCTGATGGTCACGTGACGTGACGGAGGAATGCTCCATATAACTCACAGAAGGAATTTGTCAGAGAATATTCCCTCGAAGATGACACCACGAATCTACTCCTTCAGTCACTTCTATGAGCCTCTCATTGGAGATCGTTTTGTCCATGGCAATCAATCAATATTTAGGCAACAGAGCTGGAATATCTTTATTGATATTCATGAATAAATGCGTATGCAATTATGTGACGAAGCTAAGACAATCGACTTGCTACAATAGATAACTTCGTTTTACTCACAGATATTATCCCGACGACAAATAAAGCATTTAAAAGGCGTTAATTCAAAGAACTGTCAAAGGTATCGTCCCTCTGAGCCACCTGTGTGGCAAGCTAACACGTGGCTTCTTACTCGGATTTCGAACCTCAGATTAGCACGGTTGGCTATGTATGGTGCGAAAGAAGTTCACCAAACGTACAAACACACAAAGCATATTACAAATACGTTTTCCTTCCTGCTCAAAAAGAGCATTGGGCGGTGCTAATCTCAGCGGGATGTTTCCGAGGCAGTGATGCAAATTACACATTTCTGTGATCAGGGCTAGTCTGTAGAAATATCACCGATTCGTACCAAATGGTGCTTTCAACAAGTATTTAAAATGACAGGGAATCTGTTTTGTGTGCGTGTGGTTTGCCCGTGCAGCTGAAGAGGCTTAGCTACGCTCAGGTCTGCCAGCGCGTCTCCAAGGAGTTCCCGGCGCCGCTCATAGACCCTCTCCTGCAGCCCGGCGAAGAGGAGCCGCCGGCGGAGGCGGGGACGGCCGAGGGCAGCGGGGCCCCGGCAAAGGCCGGCGATGGCCACGCTCGTGCGGGATGTGTCGCCAGGCCGAGCGAGGCCCCCGCGGGCGCGTGTCTGGCGCCGACACCGCCGCAGGTCTGCGTGGAGGCAGGCTCTAAAGTGAGCCGCCAGCACGTGAGAGAAGCAGCCAGGGCCGCACACAGAGACACAGCCTGACGAGCACACTGCAGCCGAGGGGCGAACTGAGTCGAGGCGGTTCGAGGGGTTAACGTCGCTTGCGGTCTAGGCTGTTTTGCTATCGTTAGCAGGGCTACGGAGATTAACAGTACGAGAATATCTCCATAATTCAACCATAGTGTACTGTACTTTATGGTTGTGATGAAATGCAGGAGAATGTACGTAAGATACAACTGCTTTAATTTCCAAGGAGGGAAGGTTGTTGCGTGATATTATTTGTAGATTTTGGAGTAAAATCTTATCATGGTTCTAGTAATAGGAATGGCAATGCATAAAACGTATTATGTTATTTCCTGAAATTGCTCATAATGGTACCGCTATGAGAAAAAAAGTGTTCAGCTATGAAATAATTACCAAAGCTAGATAAGTCATTATAAAGTAATCTTAATATAAACAAGCCTCAGTTATTCCAAAAACAATGTCGTCCGTAGGTGTTCCCAGAGGAGAGGTGGCTTTTCAGATTGGCGCTGTTTCTCAGCACGAGTTGTGATCGTACGTTGGCAAATGTTTACAAGGAAGTACCAGTTAGATAACCATAGTTTCTGTGACCTAGAACTAAGCAGTATATTATTCACGTAAATATTGATACAACAAAAACAACACCTGTGCTTTGAGCTTGTGCATATTTAGCAGAATATGTAAATATTTGTTTGGAGCAAAAAAAGATTTAGTATAGCGCTGTCCCTTTAAATATTTTAAAGTGCAAGCTTTAATGCCTTGGGTGAGAAAAAAAATATGCAATGTAAAAAATAAAAAAAAATCATATCATTTTATATATTTATATTGCTAGGTTTAATCCACACTATATTTAAAGAGTAATAATTTGCTGTAACAATGATTATTTGTGTAGATAAGTGGGATTTTTGGTTTTAGGTTACGTTTGCTTGATTTTTTGGTGATTTAAATCTTACTTTAGCCCGTAGCTTTAACAAGGTGAATGCAATGAAGATATCATGTAAACATTTGTTCAGTTTTAGAATTAAAATGGAAGTTTCCTTTTTGTTAGTTTCATACGATAAACATAATATATTGTGAGCTCGTTTTCTTGAGATATGTCCAAAATGTAAGATAGCCTGGGTGTGGTGCACTGCTGTTTCGCCGTTTCATGCGCTGAGGTTCCTGCTCATGCCAGTGTTTTTATTTCCTTCCGAGTGAAATTATTGTTCGTTTATAAATCGACGTTTTTCGCCGCTATTCTCCAATAATTTTCACTTTAAATCACATGCAAACGTCACTGAATGATTTTATCGTAATGATTAATCGCAACCAGTTGTTTACCATTGAGTTTGCTGTTCTGTAATAGCTTTTAATGCAAGTGCTTGGAATACAAATAGGGTTACAGTTCGGTGTTGCCGAGATGTTTTGCTCAGCTATTAACGTTGCACTAACAGGCATGTTGATTAAAAATCATCATTTCATCTTGCTCTACGATCGCATGATCCCGGTGCTAAATCCGTCATTGCGTTTGGACAATTTAACCTACAGTTATTGTTTTCATGTCGATGTTACCTTGTTTACATAAAGCAAAGCCATGCTGTGTAGTTAACAACTTCATCTGCTGACGATTCCACAAGTTGGCACTGCCTTTAATGCAGACACAACGACCTCTTGAAAGAACGTAAGGGTACAATTAACTTTAAAATTGTAAGTGTTTAAAACATAATTTACGAATGTACAGTCATGTTTTTAGTTTGAGAGAGCTAATATAGTGTTCTGCCATTATGCATTTTTCACACCTTTAACAGTTGTCTCCCACACCTGTGCCTACATATTTCAAACTTGGTGGCTGGCATGCTGATATGAAAAGATGATATTAATTCAACACTAGTTATAATCCAACTGTTCTTAATGCACACGTTGAAAATGTATGGATTATCGGAAGTTCATTTGCAATGCCGTTGTGCTTATTCATTTGAGTTGTCATACGATGCTGGTTTTACTGAATGTATTGTGATTAAACACTTTAAAAGAAAGGGGATGTTTGTTTCTGTTTTGTTACGAAAAAAAGATGAACTAAACTCAATTATATATTCTTAAAAACCGCCACTTTTTTCAAATTTTCTTGCTGTGGTTTTCACACCTGATCATGACTGCTTGTGTTGCAGTCGAAACGTCGTGAGAATTTTATTGTTTTATATTTCTATTATTTTATTGTTTGCCTTCTACCTGACTTTACTGAAAGAACCAATAATATGAATCCCTGCAGTCACGAAAGCTTTAAATCAAAATTTAAACTCAACTATTTGTTTTTATTTTACCAGGCAAGGCCCACTGATCTATATAGCTCTTTTTCAGAAGCGACCTGGCCACAAATGATAGGTTAACAAAGTTTGCTTATCACGTGGAAATGTATCGGCAGCCAAGTACTCCTAAACGCACGTCTCTAAATGTGGAGGGGAAAACCCGGAGGGCCTGGATAAAAATCCACGCGACCACGGGGAGAGAGGCACTGCAAACTCCAAAAATATACAGACGTCAGGGTCGGGATTGAACCCACGACCTCCTGTATATCAGGCAAGGCAGTCACCATCTCGCCACCGCAGCATCCACGTAACATTGCTTTCTCACGCCACAGCTGATGGAGGCAATCTCAACTCAAGGAAGCTTGATTTGAAGCTTTCGTGACTGCGGGAATTCATACTCTGGTTCTTTCGGTAAAGGCACGTCGGTAGAAAAAAAAATAGATGATAACGACGTTTCGATCGCAACGCAAGCAATCGTCATCAGGCGGTTGCTTGCATTACGATCGAAACGCCGTGATCGATTATTTTTCCTACCGACGTGACTTTACCGAAAGAACAAAAGAGTATATTCTTGGTTCTTTCGGTAAAGTCACGTAGAAGGGAAACAATAAAATAATAAAAATTTAAAACAATTAAATTCTCACGACGTTTCGACTGCAACACAAGCAATCATCATCAGGTGTGAAAACCACAGCAAGAAAATTTGAAAAAAGTGGCGGTTTTCACACCTGATGATGACCACAGCTGATGATGACCACAGCAAGAAAATTTCAAATTTGCCGTGGTTTTCACACCTGATGATGATTGCTTGTGTTGCAGTCGAAACGTCGTGAGAATTTTATTGTTTTATAGATATATTTTTTATTTTATTGTTTCCCTTCTACGTGACTTTACCGAAAGAACCAAGAATATGAATCCCTGCAATCACGAAAGCTTTGAATCAAAATTTAACAAAAGAGTATGTCGAGGGAGCTGTTGAGAGCTCCTGTCGAGACCATTTGGCCTGTTCTTTACGTGACCAGCCAACGATCGTAGACTTGATTTGCGTACCCATGTAACGTTGCTGGGTGAGCTGAGGCCCCGGTGGGATTTCAGAACCTTGCACCAACGGTTTACCTGCCGCTCCAGGAGATTGAACTATCGACCTCTGCGCTGCAGGACCATTGTACCAACCTTTACAGCACGGCAGCTCCTTTTTGTTTCTCAGTTGAAAAGGTAACCACAATATGTTTATCGCTCTAGACATGTATAAATGTGTGGAAAACCGGTACCCGTTTGGTTTTATTCATTTATCGAGAATTTAAAAGACACTTAACAAGCCTAACTACCAGTACCCTCGCTTAGTTCCATACGGTCATGGTGGAACATCCAACATAATAAAAAACTAACTCACCGAACAAACTGGGACACTTTGTAATTTAATCCAAGTATGCAACCAATGCTTAAAATCGTGGAGGGTATTTTGAGGAAAATTAGTGGGAGCATGTCAAATGGTGTATGAATAATTCACTTTTAAGATATATTTCTGACTAAATAATGGTTTGTTCGATAATAACTCCGTGAATATAAAACTGCTCGCATAAATTCAAAGCTGTTCATATTCAACTCTCTTAAAAGTGTGAACTCCAGTTACAAGTCAGTCAATCCCTCTGTCTCTATTCTCAATACAAGGACCATTTTCAACAAAACCTCAGCCGACTGTATATTTGTGCCGTTACGAGGCAGAGCTAATAGTGAATGGGATTAGTGTTTCTGTGAGTTATGCATACCAGTGTCCTGCACCAGGCACAATATCCACCACTGGCCAGACAATCACTACATGTGACCACATTCTTGGGGACACATTTTGCTGCCGGTACATCTGCACACATGTGATTCAAACAAGAACAGTAAATAATACAAATAATACAGTTGTGTAAATTAAGTCCAATCATAATACTATTGCACATCACATTTATCATAATTCTAAATATAGTCCGCCCACACTATAGCAACCTCCAGAATATGCGGATGTGTAAATAGTTCACATCGTATTTGTGCTTACAAGCATAGCATTTTCGTTCCACATATATGTCCAAACCACATCCACACAAACCACGGCAGATGCGGATACCTTATGGACAAAAGGAAAATAATTTTAAAAAACCTCTCAATTGCGTGACTGTGGTCATACAGAACACACACTGTACAAAATATAACGACGCATTGCCCGATCCACAAATACGAAGGAGACATCATCACAGCGATGCACTCTTGACTCCGCTGCCCCTGACGCGGTAGTCTGACTTGACCACCTCAATGTGACATCGTAGTTGTTGCTCTGCATCTACCAGTGACGTGCAGTGAGGTCAATGGCTGGCGAGGCACTGGCTCGTGTTAGAGCCAGATTCACACACTGAGGGGGGCGTGGCCTCACGGAGGGGGTGTGGCCTCGCTGAGGAGGCATGTCCTCACTGAGTGAGGCAGATGTGATAGCTGCCTCCCCTGGTGCTTTTTCATTGCAGTTTCATGACGAGACCAGCGAGCCTAAATATCTTTATACACATACGTGAAATAAGTTACCTGGAGTATGGAAGGCGAGGACATGAAATGAAGGGGTCTACAAACATTACATTGGTGACACACAGAGAGATAGTAACAGGCACGCGCTTATTGCCCGCGCTCCATCCAGTTACTGAGGGGTTGCGCAATCAGAGGGGAGGCTGAGCTCGTCGCTGCCTCACCTATCGTCTTTCCCTGTATTTGCAGCGTAGCTCCGCAAATTTGGCGATTTTGACTATAAAAATGATTGGAATCGTACAGAAATTACATTTATAACACAGATCAGTGGGAAAAAATCTCAATATTTATTTGATTTGATTATTCTTTTTTTTACTTTTCGCAACAGCTATTGTTTTTCATTGGAGTATGACAAGTGAGGCTCTGCCTCCACTGCCTCCCCTGACCGCACGTCCCTGGCATCTACATCAGCAGCCGTGCGGAAGGAGTGGAATATGGCAGCGGCCTTCACGCGGTCCAACTCTGTTCAGTGAGAAATTACGACGAATGCCATCAACCAAATATGGATCATCGATCTCCCGGTCTCAAACAACAACAAAAAGGCATAACGGAAGAAGACCCAACATCACCCGAGACAAGATACATTTTTTACGGTGTAAATGTGCAGCAACAACGGCATTTCCAACATTCCTGCCACCAAAACACCAAATATGGTTTGGCACTATACTCTTTGCTTCTTTCGGTAAAGTCACGTGGGTAGAAAAAATAATTGATCACGACGTATCGATCGCCACACAAGCAGCCCGTCATCAGGCCTGCCTGCGTTGCGATCGAAACGCTGTGATCAATTTTTTTTATATTCTTGGTTCTTTCGGGAGAAGTCACGTAGAAAGGAAACAGTAAAATAATAAAAAATATATAAAACAATTATGTGTTTCCCCTTCTACGTGGTGACTTTACCGAAAGAATCAAGAATATGAATCCCTGCAGTCACGAAAGGTTTAAATCAAAATCTATTATTTTGTCCACCTACGTGACTTTACCGAAATAACCAAAGAGTATGGATTCCTGCAGTCACGAAAGCTGCAAATCAAGATTGGTTTGGCACTTTTAGACCCGGCTTTGAGTTAGAGTAGATAATCGATTATTTGGGGGAGAGGGGGGCGCCGGATTTTTTAAAAACGCTGGATAATCACTAAATCATTAAGATGGATTACTTTTCGGCATTCTTGTATGACATTATGTGATTAGGTGTTGTTATGTTTTTTGGTAGTGTTTTAAATGTGTTTATTCTATGAAATTGATATGAATAAACATACAAATAGACAAAAATAAACATCCTACTTTCAAAAAAGTTACCTATTTACTGTACCGTACTTACCACTCCAATCTAAAACAATATAAATAAACACGTGCAGTATTTTCAATTGCTTACATTGTATGTAGTGTATAATGTACCGTTAATAATATTTGCACACTGAAATCGAGCATAGCTGCATTTTGTTATTGTCACGGACGTGGTGCCGATGGCTGGACTGGTGTACAGCCTTTGGAGCGGTTTCGCCGGTTTCGCCGGATCGGCCCGGGACCGCCGGATAATATTGGAAGCGGCCGGAGAATCGATGATCAACCTTATTCGATTATGGGCGACGCCTCCGTTTGTCTATCGGCGCTGAAGTCACACGAGTCGCAATTTGTCTGCACGGTCGTTAATGCCACAAGGGGGCGCCAGGTGACTGCACACAGGGCGAACCTCTGATTCGCACGGATGGCTACGTACGGTGCGCAAGGAGTCCGACATACTTCAAACCAAGCTACTCGTGTAGCATCAGCTTAAGAGAGACAGCAATTATAATACGCAGAATATTCATTTACAGGTGACAGCTCCCGCATTCGTTGGGGGAAATTAATTCCCGAGAGGGCAAATCACAAATAAGAATGAATACTGTATATGCAACTGCATGAACGAAAAAAGGGGGACACAGTAGAGTGAACAGAATCAGAATTCATACTGGAGGAATCCGATGAGCTATGAAGCTCTTTTTCACTGATTTCCAGTAGTTTTCACAGATATCCAAATCACATTTTCCTCGCATTTCTTTCATTTTACAATAATTTCAAAGGTGCAGTGATATAAAACACCAGCGAAAAACACGAGCGAATATATTTATTTGGCTTCAGTGTATTGCTAGCATGCAAATTTAATACTGGTAGGAACCTCCTGGTTACAC